ACGGTGAGACGGACGTGTAGTTCAGTTTTGGGCACGCGTACGGTGCTGCAGGGATTATATATAGGTGTAGTAGTACCTCTTCGGGCTCTTGTACACCTTTTTCTTGCTACGTGTGCGTGTTCTTTAGATCCTCAGATGGCTCCAGCACTTTCGTGACCACGGGCCGAGAGTCTTTGCTAGATTTTGGCATTTAGCAACTGGCATACGGTTTAATGTGAAGTCAACAACAACAACAACAACAACATACCATCGTTTGAATTTCCCCGTACTGTACCACCAAGACGCTGAAAGCGATGGTGTTTTACGACTTACGCATCGTACATGTACACGACGGTAGTGCGCTGGTGTTGGTATGGGCTTAATTATTCGCTTCATTTTATTTTTTAGGCGTTGTCCTCCCCGCAAATATCTTGCCCAAGATCTCGCTACCGCACCTGAGAAATATCGAAGGTTGTAAAACGACACCAGGAAAATGGAGGTTACGCACAAATACAGAGACCAAAAATGTCGGGAAAGCACAGCGACAAAGAGGACACCGCGCCTCCCAAAAGGTCAAAACGAGGCACAACACAACACAAACGCCAAATTCAACCTCACGAGACTTCACCCAAGGCAAACAACGAACGTTGGCAATTAAAGTGCTTTGCTCTCGAAACCAAAAACTACACCCGCCACATATCCCGAAGAATCGCCTGCACCTCCCCCCCCTCCTCGGTTCTTCGCTTGACGTGAGTTCCATGAGTAAACGAATGCACAGTCTTCGAAAGAAGGTACGCCGTTTCTCTGCACTCGCCGTCTCTTCCATGTGTGTACAAGCAAGAGCGGACATCTTCGAGACGAGAGCGAACCTCGCCCTCTGAAATCTTAGATTTATGCACGCCTGGCCTTTCTCTCCGATGCCCCGACCACAAAACGCGTGCATGGGTCGCCCGCACGGACACTGATGAACCAGTGACACCAGTCCAGATTTGAACTGGCACGTCGGTTCGCCGCATGCCTTCAAGCCGGCAGCAGACGAACCGCTAGCAGATGGAATGAATCTTTCCATACACCCACACGCAGTGTGCGGCTGCAGCAGACCGCTGTTGATGATCCAGGATCTACAGGTGCTGCAGCACATTTTCTGGGGGGGGTCGAATGGTGTATGAACGTACCCCCCCTTCTTTTTTACATCTGCGGGGCACCATGTTCCTGAGATTTGTGTGTCCTTAAAGCGGGGAGTATCTTTAAAATGGTGTCTTTAAAGCGGGGACGACTGTAAGCCGCAGCCACGACTCTGTGGACCAGTGAAATAAGTTGAAGTGGTCGAACGACAAACCCGGGAGGGCAATATTTCATTCACCCTCTACGCCGCCATGTACATGCAATACCCCCAGACGGAGCCTGATGCGCCTCTAGAAAGTAATCACCGCACATTTTGAAACGGGCACCTGCCAAACAGAACTGGTGTTGTCGTTTCTTACCCTCTACAACCACACCAATAGACGTGTTAAAATTAAACGCAGGCACGGCAAACGCTACATGTGTGCCCCCCTGCTGCGTAGGGAACAACACCCATCTGTGAGCACAGAAGAAGCATCAACCGGATCAAACAGCAGTAAAAGGGGAGGGTGGGGTTTGCGTACCGGTGAAGCCATATTTCCCCCATGTCCTGCGCCATGTCCGCTGTCTCGTCCTGCCACGGGGAGACGCCATCGCGAACTTGTCGGTAGCACGGCACCAGCCACGAGTGGTCCAGCTCAGGAACGCCGTCGTAGACGAAGACGGACACCTTTCCCCCTCCAGCGCCTCGGCCCTCCGCCTGCCTCACCGTGATCTTGGGCTTGTCACCCCCCTCTCCCTCCTCTTCTTCCGCTATTCCTCCACTTGTTTCCGGCGTTGATGATGGAGAGGTGCCGCCGCCGCCGCCGCCGCCGCCTCCTTGCAGCTCCTGCTGGTCTTGCTGCCGTGGCGCCGCCGACAGGATCTTGGCCTTGAAGCCGGTCGTCGCCGAGGTCGACGGCGACGACGACGAGGGCGAAGAGGATCTGTCGCGGTCGCCGGCCGAGAGGAGGAGCACGAGCGCGGCTCCGAGAAGGCCAGCCGCGAAGACAAACACAAAGGTTCGTCGGCTCACCAGGTTCACCGTTCGGCAGCGGCCGCATCCGACTCTTTTGATGATGCTGCGCGTGTCGTTGCCGCCGCCAGCGCCGCCGCCGCGGTTTCCTGGGCTATACGGTAGCATGGCTTACCCGACGAGAGCCCTCCCTCCAAGCGAGTACGCAGCAAAGGGTGGAAGCGGACGGGTGTGTTGATTTTGTTTTGTACCGATTGACTGCTGCTCCTGCTGCTGCCTTTTGATGGAACTGGACACGCTGTCTCTCACGTCTGCCAGGAGACCTACTAGCTTGTCTGCGTTACTCGGCGGGCAGGTTCTTCTACGTTGTCGCACTTCCATGCTGCGTAGAGCACCCAAAACGAAGAGCAAGGTGCGGCGAACCAGTGGTGCAGGCTATCTGGCGTCTCTGAAGCCAGCAGCGTTGCCGGTTTGACCTTCCGATGATGCACAGGCCATCACTCTCGTTTCTACGGAGAACCTCACAAAATACAGAATGTTAAGTACGGCGAAACTTTCGACATGATTTTTAACACGACCAACGTTGCGAGAGTTACGGACCACGCCAAGTATAGGTGTATTTTGCAAAGACCCCCAATGGAGTAAGTACACGGTTGCCATGAAGGATGAGTCTAAGTGTTTGGTTACCACGGACACAGGATGCCTTCACGAAGCCAACACTGAAGCCGTACTGAACCTGCATGCTGGTTTTAGAGCAGAATATGCAGAAGCCCTGAACGATCTGTCATTCTTAGTATCACTCGTAGATCCCATAGAAAATACATTGGTGGGTTGTGTCATGGGAGGAAGCATTGTACACACAGCGATAGAACAGAAAGTAAGTGATACTGATACAGGAGAGCGAGATACACCTCTTACAGGGCAAATGGACTTTATGGCAGCTAGGAAAGCATTAAAACGGTTGCAAGACAACGAGGTATTTGTAGTTTTTACAAGAGTCGACAAAGCGGCCAACTGTAAAATGTATCACATGTACGTAAGGCTTGTTATATTAGGTTATATATGGCGACAACTGAACTTCAAGGACCGAGATAATATCGAACCATACAAAAGGGGACTTTGGTTTTTAGAGATGGTTGAACGAGAGATTATTGACCGACAACATAGTGTGGGGAGTCTGCATATTTTCTGGATAATATGCAAATTGGGCAGGATATTCCGGGTAAGTAGGACGCATATTGAGATGTATAATAAGCGCCAACATATAGCTACGTTGCAGCAATAATATCGGGCATTCTCCCACTGGGAGACATTATTGTCTACTAGTTGTAAAATGTCTACTTTACATTGTCAAATGTACCGATTTGTCATTTACCTTGTTGAAGGTTGTGCACGGCCGTAAGACCGCGACTGATGGCGCCACTCCCTCGCAGTGGTGATAACTTCCAGAAAACCATGGGTCTGGGTGTGTGCGAGGTGTGAGGCTGATGTGCTGCACCGATGGTTGAGGTCTGTGCATGCTTGTAAATACATATGATAACAAAAAAAATAAGGGTCGCATCAAGATGCCAAGCCCCTATATATGGACCGACTTTCAAAGCGACAACAGCTGCTGTTGGTGGATGCTCTGCATAAAACAGCACCGAAGGGACCGAAAAATGACAGCCTTTAACCGTGGTGGAGAGCTTTACGGGAATATATCGCTCGATGTATGATACTAGTACATCTTATTTGATGTTTATTACTGGTACATCTTATTTGAGGTGTGGAGTACTCGAGCTTGAAGATCGGTCCAGGGGGTGGGGTATCATACGTGGCCTAAAGATCATGCGTTTCCCATTAGGGGCTCCAACTCCTCATATGTCTTGTATCGTACTGTATGTTGAGGTTGTTGTTGCTCACATTAAAACCGGTCCGGTCTCCGGTCAGTACCTCATAATGTCCGACCTGGTCCAACTGACACTCAGAAATCACGTGTTGTCTCCGGACGTACCGCCATTCGCCACACGGTTTGGATCTCGCGCTACAAATCAAATTAGCCACACATGCATCGAGGCGTGTGTTGGCACATTTCAAGGCTATCGTGGGACTTATCGTCAGGCCGAAATGGTATGTAAAGTTTTTTAGTTTTGATAGTGACACGGCCGGACGGGTCGGAGAGAACGCACCACAAGTCTCACCAAAAGTCGAGAAATGAAACCTTAGTTACAGTAGTAAACGGCTAGGGCAGAAAATGGCGCGTTTGTCCTGAGTCTGGCGACATTCACTTCGTCGTCTCACAGAACCACTAGTTTTCGCACGCCGAACTGGCTGGTACGTAGTAAATAGCTCGCCATCTTGCTGCCGTTGCTTTGACACCACCGTTCTAGTTAGTCGTTAACACAAGCAAGCGCATTTCCTATACTGTGGAACCTCGCAATGTTCGTGGATCGTAACCGACCACAAATACGTCTAGCCTGTCTCGCACGTTCGTAAATAGCACAGAGCATCTAATACCCGGTACCAGCTAAGCGTGCCTGTCTCGCGAACTTTAGACTAAAATAGTGGGCTGAGCACTACTGTACCATCGGACCCACACCCGAGTTTTCCTGAACCTCGCAGTCTATGATACCAAGGATTGATAGGTGCTCTTTCTTCTTCTCTCAAGATCTGTTGGCGGCCCCCTTGTTGCCGCTGCGCGTCCGCACTCTCTGCCGCCCGACCTTCCCGCAGGGCGCGGTGAGCGGCCGGTCGATTGGCACCTGCCTCACTCTTCTCGGCAACCTACCCCCGTTCATCCCCAGAATCTGGGTCCTTGGCCGAAGCTCATCAACGCCCGCGGCTGACGCTGCGGCACGAGCAGCAGCAGCGGCGGCGGTAGAAGTGCTTTCCCCGCCGCCGCCCGTCCGCGCGTCGCCCTTGTTGTGGGTAGTGCCCGAGCGAGACGACGCGTACGTCGTCGTCGAAGCGGTGGGATGGGATCGGCGGAGAAACGCGTGCCGCTTCGGAAGAAGAGGCGCCTCTCCTGCCCCCGTCCTCGAACCCCTTCCGTCGGCGCCGCCGCCTCTGCCGCCACCGCCGCCGCCCCACTGGCGGGGCGTTTTGTTCTTCCACCAGGTGTTGACGCCGCTGTCCGGGAAGGGGAGATGCGCTACCCCCAACCCCCCCCCCGGCTCACGCTTCTTCCTTCCTCCGCTCGCCCAAACCCCCCCCACTAGCCCCCCGTTTCTACTCCTAGATGCTCGCCGGTCGTACTCTCTATTCGCGTCCCCTCCTGCCCACCCTTTAGGGCTCCACTGCCCGGCAGCGTCCGTCAGCCTTTCCGGGGCGGTGTGGGGGCGGAGGGTGCCGTCGCCCAGGCTTCCGGGCAGAGGGCGCACTGATGAAGGAAGTGTCGTCGTGAACGCAAGGCAACATCAACACCAGACCACGGCACACCGCGTGGGGTTGATGGAGAAGTTAAACAAACGTTTTCCTTTGCGCTTTGATGAAGTTCTACGGGGGGGAGATCTGCTGATCCAAGCATTTTTTCTCGCAAGAGTCCGCCCGCGGTGGGTGAAAGCCCTTCTTCACGACCAGGCGGAAATGGGAAATGATTCAGTCGACGGGGCGGGTCGTGCACATCTGTGGGGTGAAGGGTAGGTAGGGGTGCCAGCCAGGCGGCATGGCCCAACTTAGGAATGTCTATTTAAATAGCCCTACAATCAGTATTACTACTGTAGCGTCGCCGCTTAGTCTGGAAGAGGCTGCTGTACTGTGTTCCTCTTCGGGCGCGGTTGCGCCGCCCTTGATTATTTTAGAGTAGCCGAAATATGTAGCTACTTCAACGCTGGATGTCAGATGGACGGTGCGGGCGCGCAAAAAACAAAAAAAGAGCTTACCCGGGTCTGGCGACAGCCCCAACCAAGCTATCTGGGGGAGGAAGTCCCGAAAGTCCAACGGCTGGCCCAACCTCGACCTCGGATCGATCGTATCAAGGAGCAGGTCTTCCGGCTGTCGCACCCACGTTCAACGCAAACGAGAGAGTGGGAGGCTAGCGTTACGAGAGGGGCCAGCATGGCCCTCGATAACATTTTGTGCGTGAAGATGATCTGGGTGTGTTGCAGCACAAACGAACGATAGAAACCGAAATCAAACCATTTAACTAGTCAGCGCTGACTGTTATAGTGTAATGGTTTGGTGTGGGCTTCTAGACTATTGAACACAATCAACCACTATTTTTTTGCTCCAGCGATGGAAAAACAAAGTAACGATGGTCGAAAAGGTAAGTATCCAAGCGTCCGCTTGGGCCGACGGCAGCGGCGGCAGTGGTAGGCACGTACGTGGAGTGCCACGAAATTAAGCTAGGCACTTCGACCCAGGGCTGTCGCTGCAAGGAGAGCCGCCGTTGCTGCTCTTGCTGCAACGGTATTACTGGGAATCGAACGAAAGGTTGCCGCTTGGCTCTTTTTTTTAATAGTTTGTGTTTTTCGTTTTGATTCTGATTGGTTGCTTCCCACGAAGCGAGTGGGAACATCCCGGTCTCAGGCGTGGTTCCATGTACCGTAAGCGTAAGAGACATTTTGAAAGCCGGTGGATGAACGTTCCACTCCTGTCCGCGGAACCCCCAACGCGTTCGTCATATCCCTGGCCAACGGGCCCCGCGGGCGACCGTCCATCATCGTCGAGCTACGACTCTAAATGTGCGGCGAACATGACAGAAAAACAAGGTCTCACACCGTTGCGAGCGGCTCTCGTGGCTCGCACCCACGGCCAGCGCTCAAGACCGGCTTCCCGCAGCACGACCAGGCGGCTTCTCCTTCGGACCGGCCCTTGCTGCCCCCGCCGGAGTCACCTGTCGCCGCCTCCGCCTCAACCCCAACAACCTCACCGCCGTCGCGACCCATTGCCAAGTCCGCCGCCGCCACCGTCGCCCCGCCCGGCAGTCCCGAACGGCTGCTACCGCTGCTGCTGTCGCCGTTGTTTCTCTGCTGGTCGTTACTGCTTTCCTGCGGAGGGGAGGGAGGGTTTCTGTTGCCGTTACCGCTACCGCCGCCGCTGCCGCCGCCGCCGCCGCCGCCGCCGCCGCGGCTTGTTGGCCTCGGGGGGCGGACGAAAATGTCCGTGTGCGCGAGCCGCCCGCTGTGGATCCACTCCCTGCTGCCGTCGTGGGGGCCGCCACCGCCGCCGACACCGCCACCCTTGCCACCGCCGTCTCTCGCCAGGAGCTGTTGTCCGGGTGCTATGACGGGAGACTCGAGGGATCTCCTGCGTTGTAGTTAATAAAGGGCGTGCATACGTGTGGGCTTGATGGGAAAGGTTGCTGAAAGTGCTTTTTTTTTTGCGTGTGATGTGGAAAGAGTCTTTCGTCGGCACATCGATTTCAGCGTTTGTCTCAAAAAAGTAATCGACGCTGTAGGCTTCTGTTGTAGGGCGGGACTCAATACCTCTTCGATATGTATGGGTCGGACCTCCTGACAAAAGGCGGCGGCCGGGCGCCGGGTGAAGCATCCCGCGGCGGGCTTACCCGTCCTCTTGGTAGCTGGGAGCATCGTTGTCCTCTTCCCCGTCGTCAACGGGAACGATCACGGTGGTGGGCCTCGGCGGCAGGGTGTCCACGACAAGCTCCCTCCGCAGATTCATCGCCTCCTGCAGAGAGAGAGAGAGAGAGAGTGAGACAGAGTGAGACAGAGTGAGAGGGTCCCAGTAGAGAGCGTCAGTCAAGGAGAGCCGGAGTAAACATACGAGAAGCCGCCGGGCACAAGTAGTATTTGGTACTGTAGGTCTCGAGCTCATTGACCTTCGCTCGCAGTTTCCACCTGCCCTTTACTTGTACGGTCTTGCCTCCGATCCTGGGCTACACACGCTCCTTTTTGCGGCGCGTGATTTCAATTTTTGGCGCGAGGAAGTTCTGCCAAGCTTCACTGTCGAAAAGGACTGGCTGGAGGTGGTCCCGCCCATTAAGAAAGAGCTAGGTAGGCTCCCATATACCGCACGAGTCTGCGGCAACGATTTGCCGTTGTTCTGTATGGGTTCGGTTTGGCAGCTGCCGAGGCTCGCTCGCAGCTGTACGCAGTGGGGATGTTTCTTTTCATTCTGCTTTATTTAACTCACCACGAGCAACATGTCCAGTTCTTCCGCGACGGCCTTGTTAATCGATCCTTCGTTGCGCAACGTGTCCTGAAGAGCTTCCGTTCTTTCGTCACCCTGCTCACCGAGGATAGACAAACGAACATCCCAAAGATGACGGCGGTGGGTAACACGGCGATTGACATGCGGTGGGGAGTACAACAAGATCGGAACCACCGGTGGAAAAGAGGCAGGCCAGCGAGATATCGTCGGGGTTGTTCTTTCCAGTTACGGCACTATGGAGTGAAATATCGTCCATGCCAGAGCATCATTTCTCGGGGGCGGAGGACGGCCGGGGGGTGTAGGGAACGTATCAATGGGTGTAATGGTATTTGACCCCTTCCTTCAGAGTCGATCACCTTTATGCTGTGTGGAACTTCTTTTGTCCGACCACAGGAGCAGCTTGTTGTTGCTTTCCATTGATCTCTTTCTCTTGATTAACGCTTTCCAAGCCAACTCACAACATCCCACGCACACAAGATCAGGGATTGTCTGCACGGGCACTGAACAGAAGGGCACATGCCTCGGCATAAAGCCCTAATCTAGCGTGACGTCACGTCATGGCATCCGACGGCGAAAAATAACCATGGTCAACCACGATCACATGTCTACCTCCAAGTACCATAACATAGGGGTGCTGGAGCCAATCGTTCCGAGACGGAGTCTCCTTTTACCCCAGCTACCGCGGAGAGAAGGCCCCATGAAAGATAGTCCCGGAGAATCGTTTTTAAGTATGTTTTCGATCGAGGTATTTTCTGTCGGTTGTCATTCACCGACCATCATCATGAGGGGGGGCGTTCAGCAGGGAAAGGGATGTCGGGACATGCATTTGTGCAACATCTTCTACTGTTGAGGCTCAGCTTCTCACCTCTGCGATGGCCTTGGTCATGCGTACCAGTTCTGCCTTGGCCTCTTCCAGCTTAGTCTCTGCCTCCTGGGATCTCTCACGCGCCGACCCCTGAAGCCAAAGAGACGAGTTCCCATCAAGAAGGAATTGCCATTGCGTAGCACCAGCTGGTATCACTGTTATAATTTAGAGAGGAATGTAGGCTTAAACACACTCAAAATACGCCCAGTTTCCAGCTGGATTTCCTCCACTCACTGAAAACACTCCGACACATACATCCCTTTCGACTGCTGTGGTTATATCTGGCACGGGTAGTCTCTTTGTTTGATGTACATTTTCTAAGAAGGAATCGTTTACCAGAAATAAGTACCCTCGTCGGGGTTGTGAATATCAATCTCACTCTGGTCATGATTCCCGTCTAACTGTCGTCATCAACCACCATGGCACGTGCTCTTGTATGTGCGTCGGTGGCGTTGGTCCAGGGATCCAGCAGCGCAGGTGGTGGATTCAAATCGTTCGCCTATTCCGTTTCTACGGAAGCAAAGCATCAAAAACGACACTTGAGAATTTCTCTAAAGAAAAACAGGCTGTAAGCAATAGTGCAAGCGTATGCGCAACATCACCGGCATCAAAGAGACCACGCGCACAACTACTTCAAGCGTCCGACACACTTTGGAGTACAGCGCCTCACCAGCCTAGACTGCGACTTTTGCCGGGCTGTTTGTGCCGCCACCCTCTTTTCCATCATAGCCTCCAGTTTGTCTGCTCTAGGGGCGCAAGCGCGGCTCGGACAGGCTTGTTTCCCGCCCTGGCTTTCCAGAGAGCTATCATCGTCCTCCTCGACTCTCTGTTGCAGAAAGAGGAGAGAGGGCAGGGTAAGATCCATAGAAGAACGAAAATTTTGTTCGAAGAAGCGAAGCCAACCTGAACATTCCAGCTACAGCAACAAGCACTGAATCGATCCGAATGGGTTCGATTCGTGATCGGGGTATTTCACACGCTGTGAGATCTGGCGTTGGGGTAAACGTCTGGCATCCGTTCATATCGTGCCAACTTGTTTCAAGGGTAGACCTACATAGGAGAACGTAATCGACGTGCTTGGTCAAGTATGTATGTAGCGATGGACATGAATAGACGTAAACTATTGTTGGACTTCGTTGGGCTTCGCCCCTGAAACCCAAGAAAAAAATCGATTTATGTCATCAAAACTCCCCCCTTAGTCTAGACTATACATTTTTGTGATCTGGGTTGTTGTACTGCAAAACGCACGCCGGCTTCGATCGTTGTGTCAAACTTACATCCACTCAACGACGTGCCTGCGACAGAAGAAAGTATTTGCACCTAACGCGCTTGAACACTCGTTCTGCATTGAATTTGTGGATATAACGCTGCCCCAGACTACTGCGCAGGTGAAAACATTTACTCACCTCGTCGTCTTGACCCTTGGGAACATCATCAGGCTTGGGCCGCCGGCGAACCTTGCGCCGCCCGAGGTCCACACCCGGGGCGGGGACAGGCCGGCCTCGCAATCCCGCCACGAAAGACAAGTTGTCCGTCGAGAGATGCTGAAATGGCCGGACACGAGGGCTTAGCCCCGGTCGGAAACACATGTACTCAGGCTGTTGTTGTCCGTTGATGAATGCGTGTGGAGTACTAAACTAGTGGGTTGTCGGTCGTATGTTTCAATACTCAGACCTTGCCCAAGCTTTCCTGCAACCCGCGCTTGGGGCTTGCCCGTGTCACCTACCCGTACATTTGCTGATCACTCCTGCGCCACGTGCATGCAGCCTGGCCCTACAGTTTGTACGACCGTACGTTGGGTTACAAGTAGCTAAGTGCAACCTCGACCAACAGCAGCAGTAGCCCTGAACCAATAAGAGCGATGCGCTGAGAAGGCATACGGTAGGAAGGTGTGGGGTCTGCCCGATGCAGGTTGCATAAAACTCCCGTGTCGCTGGCGTCAAGAACTACTACTGTCAACATCATCCACCATCGTCTGGCTCATGTGTCTACCGCTGCCGCTTCGAAGAAAGAAGAAGCAATATACGAAAGAGCAGGTTCGTTTGAATTCTGACCTATTTGACTACTGCTGCGTTCTCTTACCTTGTAATCCGAGTAAGCCTGCCGAAGCCGCTCGCATTTGGCCATAAGGACGGCCATCTTCCTCTGTGCACACGAGGGTGCGGCCGATGGTTACCAAATAAGCCACGGTCTATCACGCGTAAATGTCGATGTAGGCCCGTGTGTATCTCAGGCACTCAAAGTGTTTTGAGGTGTATATCACCCCAAGACCCCAAGCAGTCTGGGTTGTGCGCCGCCCTGTTTCTTGGTCGTTCGTCGAGTGGGCGATGTGTTGCTCCGCGTTTTGAAACGGCAACGACACGAAACGAAACTGTACGCAAAACGACACCCTCCCCTCCTTCTCTCGTCAGTCTCTGATTTTCTCCGAGCATTTCCTAGACATGCGCTACTAGTGCATCATTTACGCGCCCAAGCTACGTTGATGCTGCTGGGGGCTCAACCCTAACAGCCACTCTCGCGTGGCATTGTGTTCTACACACGGCTACTGAGAAAACAACCCACACAAGCACATGGATTAAATTTTTCCTAATGGGTCTACTGCTGTAGCCTAGACTATACATACAGGTTGTTGCATTTCCACAACCAGTAGAAGAATCAAGACAACGCGCCCAATTAGAAAACATGAACCTGGTATGCATATATATGCTGTAGACTAAACTAGTGTTTGCATGTATATACAAGGACGAAGCTCCCGCGGTCGTTTGCGTTGCTGACAAGGCGCAAGCTGACAACCGGGACTCCACCTGGGGCAATGACTTCAACTCTTACGAAAAGGAAGGGTTCGATACAAAAGCCGGCATGTACCGGCTTAGCCACCTGAAGAGATTATAGTTTTCTTTGGGGGAATTCGCCAGGATTTACGTACGGAACGACGTACCCTGCTATTCGCCCAACGCGTGGTGTACTTGTGAAAACGATTGTCATGTTGTTCGTACATCTCTTACAAAAACGCAACGAGTTCATCTCTATCCGCAGGTAAGAGAGACCGGGATAAATGATTCAGTTTATTTTCCGTTCGTGTTCCCTCGCGTGATCTGATTCTTCCAGCAGTGCATGCATGTGCAAGATGGCGATTCGAACCCAGAGGTTTTGGTGAATACATTCGAGGAGGAGGAAAGCGGGGGGAGTAGTAGGTCTAAGGGCTCACAGATCGACGTCGAGATGACTGTTGGATGAACACATCACGGATGTGATCTCGAAGCTTCATCATACAGCACAAGAATAGTAGCGAGTGCTCGCGCGTGCATTTCAACACAGCACTGGAGGGCCTCTACAAAATCGGGCTCAGAAACACAAACGGTATCTCACCAGAAGAGGACGTAACCATCCATGTTGTTCTTCAAGGGGTGACAAAAGTACTCATCACTGGTCTATACTGGCACATGAACACAGCAAAAAACGAAAAACAGCACAAAAAAAGTAATGATCTGGCCAGAACCCAACGCAATATTTCCGCTACACGTACATGCGCAACGATTGCTGGACATGTTCTAGACTGGTAAGCATCCACCCTACCGCACACTACAAAACCACACCATGCAATCCCGTGAATCTACCAGCATCATACCGTGCCCCGAAAGCGATCAACAATGACACCTCGTTGTGTGAAGCACGCAGCCCCCCAAAAGGAAGCACCACGGGTTGCTATAGACATTTGGCATACATCAGCTACCGCCGCCACCGCCCATGACCTTCGCAGGCACGCACTCCAGAGTGCGAAACAACCCCCCGGCAAGAGCTGGCGACGAGCGCACAACCTCCAGCCCCGCCCCCCGGCACAATGCCTCCACGTCTTGGTTCCAGAAGCACCCCTTAGCGCCGCCCTTGTTGACCAAAAACGAGGCCGTGAAGTCCTGGTACGCGGCCAGAGGACCGAAGTTACTCTTGCTGCAGAAAGGTGAACGTGAGGATAGAGCGAGGAGGGGGTTGGTTACGCACGGAAGTGCATTTAACCAATGAGCATCGACCTAGCCAATCGGCTGACCGATGAAAAGGCGTGAGTCTCATAGCGGATACAGCCGTATACAGCAGTAGCGGGGTAAACGCAAACACGCTGCATAACAAGCACGCATATATGTGTGTGCGTGCGTGCCACACGAGGGGAAACGACCAGCATTCAGCACACCGTCAGAAAATGAGGTAGAGTTGCCAGGGGTGGGTGGCATTAGCTTGGCTTGGACATAACGCATGATACCACGAAACGGTTTCTTCTGCTGGGTGTTCCTGCCGTCCCTACTCTTGCCGAAGGGCTTCACGACTCAGCCAGACCAAGCTATGCGACAAAACCCACCTGTTCTCGAGAAGAAGAACCCGTCCCGCCGGCTTGCAAACCCGCGCCATCTCTCGCAGAGCAGCCGACTACTTCGTCGCGCATGGTTTCGCCACAGGTTGTACGTATGTGTGCAAACAGGTCAAAACCCCGCAGGGTGTGTGTGTGTGTGCATATAAAACCAAGACAGCATACGGGTATGGCAAAGCCGGTGATCAATCCATTTGGCGACGGTGGTGGGCTGCTGCTTCACATGTACACGCGCTCCGCCGAGGAGAAAACGTAGGGACCAAGATAAGAAAAGCCGAAACGACACAAGCATCGACACAGCGGCACGATGCGAGGATCTTCCCAAAAACTAGTAGCGCCAACCCGACACCATGAGCGACCACTATGCAAGGCTGGTCCGAGGAGCGAGCACCAACAAGACGCGACGCTGGTTCGAGAATGACCAGCACGTGGTATATCTTACGGCAACACCCCTGGCTGCAGCGGTGTGCAGAAAGATCTACGGTGTCTCTCCATACACCTGACCTCCTTGTGACCGCGGACATACACCGCCGATTAGATTACTCCTTATAACGAAAGGCACCCAGTTTCTACCAAAAGAGTGGACGTGTACTGGGATAAACGAACCCCAAACAAGCTGCTACCACGGGCGTAGTTCTAAGTGGACAACGTTGAAACGGCAGTGCCACGTCATACTCATTCATTCCTCCGAATCGTTTCGAACACGATCGCTCCAAGAAAAAGAAGGTCCCGGACACAACGACAGAGAGTCTATCGGCATGGAATGCTATTACGTTCTCGCGGACAGCCAACGAGGACGGTCTTCTACAACCTATCACACCGCAATGCGAAGAAAAATATATACTCGAAAGGGAGATTAGTGTAGGAAGCAAACCGTGTTCCGATGGGCCCGACAAACAACCATCTTTCTCTCCAGTTCGTAAACGAGTTAGTCGATTCCCTCCTGTTCACGGGAATGGCACGATGCGGTCTGTGGTGTCAACAAAATAAAACAAACAAATAAGCTGCTGCTGCACGCACCGGGTCTGAAAAAACGCAGAGAGAAAAGGTGTCCACGACCGTGTCGAACGCCTCTGATGGAAAACCGAGGTGCTCGACGTCCATCACCGACAGGTTGACGAGCCGTTTCATGCCCAGCGACTCGCTCCTGGATGATGCCTGCCCGTGTCATCGCGAAAACACCGCCGATTGTTGCGAACGGTCGTGATAGGACGTGTTGTGAGAACAAGCACGAGCTCTGATGTCGGCAAAATGTCAAAACTGCGCGGGTAATCGCGTAGCACCCCAATTGTTGAGGACGGTCATGTTAGGCCGATGTGAGAACAAGAGCGAGAACTCGTGCCCGCAAAATGCCAAAATACACGCTGACGCTGGTAACAATCGTGTGCTCATCGTCGAACTGTGCGTCCTGACCATGCCACAGCATCTGCTTCGTCTTCGTATCGTGTTCATCGACACAAAACGCCATGCAGAGATCAAGAACATTCACTTCATCCTCGAAAGGCATCCTTGTGTCACTACATAACGTACGTGACGCAAGAAAGCACCCCCCTGCGTGTGTTTTCTGTGAGGTGTATGGTATCTTATTGCACAAGATTACGTGGATCTGAGAGTAGTTATTTGTTTTGTGGGCTCATCATGTGTTGCCACCGGGTGAGGTATTGCTGTGGGGTTGTTGTCTTATGTGGTTGTATCTTTGGTCAATCTTGAGCAGGATGGCGTTTTGGTCCACAGCAGAACGGCGTGTGGCCAAGGTCGAATCATTCAGCCTGCTGTTGGATGAGCATTCATTCTTGCGGATTGAGGCGGCCAATCGATTGCCTCACAAACCGCCCACATATCGCGTGGTGACCATGCGCAACTTCCGTGCATGGTACTTGAATGCGGTTAAGCCTATGCCCTTCGTCAGGGGTGCCATGTATCGTACACATTCGGCGTTTGTCTTGGAGCGAACACGAGAAGGACTTGAGACACGGAGCCCCCTCGGTTTGCACAAACTCGGACAGTTACAAATATTCGAAAGGAAACGGATGCATGTCTGCGGACCTAGCTCAACAAGGACAGAATCAGAGACATTCGAGAGACAACCAACACATGTCTGAGTACCTTGCTCCAACAAGGACAAGCAACCAGAGACATTCGAGAGAAAACCAATACATGTCTGAGTTGTACCTAGCCCAACAAGGACAAGCAACCAGAGACATCCGAGAGAAAACCAACAGAGGACCTATGCGTAGCTCAACAAGGACGGAATCAGACCTGGCTCAGCATGCCCGGACTTAGGTCCACCGCCTCGATGGCCGACACGAGATCACGCCGATAATGCCGCAGGTTGAGTCCCGTACCCACCCCGACCTCTAGCACCCGCCCGGTGGCGCCTGCTAGCAACTGTGATCGTAGCTCCTGCATCCAGACGGCAGCAAGTTGAGGGAAGTACAAGGTTTCCCTCAAGAACAACGAGCATGTCGTGGGTTGCCCTCGGACTGTCGGGCTGCTCTCGATGAACGGGTACGGTGGGTAACCGGGCGGCACCAATGAGCGGTTCGGTGCAGAATACCCCGGCCTTCGCCAACCAAAAGCTCACACGATTGGTGTCGATTGATACGTATCGGTCACACCTTTAAAAAAACCCACGATGTCATAAAAAAATTGGTGGTGTGCACCAACGTGCTTTCGCCCTGTAGAAGAAGAAACCAAGATTGTTGTGCTTGAAAAAAAACAAAAAACAAGAAGACGGGCACACGATCAAGCGCGGTCTAACTCGCCTCCAGTCCGATGGCCGATGCCGCCCAACCGCCATCCAGGTCATCGTACCCCTCGGCGAAACCGTCGTAGGATTCCTTCGTGAGTGCCTTCGAACTCAGCTGGTCCCCAACCCCTGTTGCCCCCACGTCAGCATCCGCGAACGCCCCCGACGATCCCGCCGCTGCCACTGCCCACCACCGCGCCGCGGAGACGAGCGTTTCCTCTATTGCCCCGCGTCGTGTTAAGGATGGCGTCGCGACGTCGACATCACGGCAGCAAGAGGGCGACCGACTATTCGGATCAAGAGCGCTCCGGTCGTTCGTGCTACTACCGCTGTCGGATCCGGAACCACCGCCACCACCGCTAAGGCAAATAAAACCGCGCCTGCCCAGCGGAGAAGGTCCACAGCAGGATTGCTGTTGTTCTATTCTCACTATCGCTCTTGGCTGCTGCTGCTGCTGCTGCCATCGCCGGTAGGGTCGGGTTTGGGTGAGGGGAAGAACGAACGCGAACGGACGGCGGGAGAACGCGGCGGCGACGGCGGCGGTCATCGCGGAGCGCGCCCATGGCCTCGCGGCGCGGGCGTGCGCCGCAAGCGCCGGGACTTCCACGACGAAGGGCGCCAGCGGTAACAGGTTCCGGGTTACGTTCGCGGCCTTCGATGGTAGGTGTTGCAGCACTGGTACCCGGGCGGCAGCCGACGCTATGCTCGCTGCAGCCGCTGCTGCGGCTGCGGATGGAGAAAAATGCTCGAGAAAAGCAGCTGGCGCGCTGGCGGAGCCAACGCGGCCGTCTTCTCGTGTTGATAGCACCGTCGAGTACCGTTGCTGTCGTGGTGGAGAAGACCATGGCGATGGCGATATCGGTGCTGGCGAGGAACTGGTTGTTAATGTTGCCGCGGTGTCATCGGGTGATGGTGGTGGCCTTGCTCTGCTGTCGATGCGAATCCCGTGGTGGGAAGGCGGAGAAGCGAGGGGTTGCTCCCCGCTGAGAGTGATGACGCAGGCATGGATGGGAACACGAGGAAGGGAGTAGGCCAGCAGACTGAGGGCACAGCAAACGAACGGGATATCCTCTAGCGATTGGTAGAGATGCACGCAAGCTCACATGCCTGTCTGCATCGGTACATGTACGCTGCTGTTTCCTGTTTCCGAACATGCACGCTACTGCTGTGCCGGATTACGCCCTCCACAACGCCCGTTGCATTTCGGGCAACGTCTAGGTAGAAAATTGGGTTTCTGGTGCTGCAAACTAGCGAAGCACTGCATCTTGAGAGCGTTCAGCTGAAGTGCCATAAGAGAGACTCAAGCAACACGGGCATTCCAAACCATGTAGCTCAAATCGGGCCCTTCGGAAGAATCACCACGGAGCCCACAGCACGAAACATGCACAGCAGGTTTCGTGCGTGCGGCTGCTGCCCAAACCGCAGCTCACCTGGCAATGCTGGAAGCACTGATGACAGCAAAAATCAGCCACCTAGAAACCTCCGTCGATCTTTTCCAGCACATAGCTCCAGCGTGTTTGGGGTGGGTCGGTAGCCACAGGGATCCCAACATGAGAACATGCTCCATCTGCCACGACATCATGACATGAGATGCGCGATGCGGCGGAATAACACGGATAGTGTGACGCAGATCGGCAAGAACCATCCCCGCACACAGTGCAATCTTGTCTCACGGCGCCCCCTTCGCCGAACATCGATGATCGTGGGTTGCTTGCGGTTGCACTGCACAACTGCACGGCCCGACTACCACCGCCACAGGTACGGATACACGACAAAAGGTGATTTTTTTTTTCTTGCAAAGGGCACCTGGTCGATGCGTTGAAACATCGTGCCTCCTCACCGTTCGGAGATTGATTTTGGCAGAACGCTGTGCTGCTGTCCTCGACAGAAAACACCCCTTCGATGTTGGCTCCACACTCCTTCACAACAAGTAGCAACAAGCAGCCAGCGTTGGCGTGAGCAAGAGCAAGGGTCAAGGTTAACGAGGACAACATTGCGAAACAACGGAAGTCAATGCGATATGAAAGGATGAGTCGCTCGCAGGACCGAAAGCGGGCACGGCGGGCAACCCTGCCTGTTACAATTGCATTTGGCACACAGCTCCGCGCTCTCCCGGTATCTGTCAACCGACCTCCCCTGCTGTTGACGGCCAACCTCTCGAGCCCGGCGACGACTAACTGCAGCTGTTATGCCCCTTACCTATTTCGCGTGCTTAACTCCCCTCTTGCATGCCCTAACCTCCTTTGTTGCATTCCTAAGAAGCAGATACAGCTGGGAATACTTGACCCTAGCTGGAAAGACAGCAGTTCGTTACTGTGAGTAGGAAGCATGGCTCGACGGTACGACAGCAGCACAACCACCTTCTCCCCCGAGGGGAGATTGCATCAGGTGAGAGTCCGCCGAGAGCAGCTGCTGTATCTGTGCAATACGCACGCGTGGAGAGATTGGGCCTGTCGTGGTTGTTCAACTGACTGCTATCTAACGATGTTGCAACTTCCAGTACCTCGACCGACCACCGTAGGTAACGTAAGATATCACACCCTCCGGGCTTATCTTCAACGCTCGATTTGCTCCACAGCAGAAAGAGTAGCGGTGCCGAATGGCAGTGTTGGAACAGTTTCGCCAGGATCTTTCCGAGAGCTCTCATCCTTTGGTTTTTGCATTCTCTTCGTCGTGGAGTAATCGAGCTTTGAAAATCGGTCCAGGGGGTGTGAAATATTATGTCATGGCACCCACGGTAGTCCCGTTGCTTCAGCCCTACAATGGCCCAGATCCTCTTCCGTTGGAGAAGGTCGACATCCAATTCAGGGGTGTGGGTCGTGTCCTTCCACAGACGGTGCTTCAAAACGATTCGTACAGTGCACCCATGCATCTCTGATTTCCTTGGCAATGCAATTCCGTTTTGGTCCGTAACGTTGTGTTTCCAAAGGTCTCATCCAGTTCGTCGAGGCGAATCAATATGTACGGAAGTAGACATTACAGCATCATGAGGATTATTTACAGCAAAAGTGAAGGCTCCTTCCTTCTCCAGCCCCCCCACGCCTCTCCGCCTTCTATCGTCCCCTCGCCGCCTCTACAGCGTCTCTTGTCTCGACCCCTCCCCCCCCAACCCCCCACCGGCCGATCATTGGTTGCCCACTGGAGGCCACTAGCGTGAAAGCTAACACCCCTTGCTCTCGAAGGGAACCCCCCCCTCCCGTCTCTGAAGTATTTCTCCCTGCCCCCGTCTCCGGCACCCTTCTGCGAAAGGTTGAGTATGCGATAGAGGCCATCAACAACGCCGGGACGTGCGTGGGGATCTTGGCGAAGGATGGCATCATCATGGCGGCGGAGCGGAAGGTCGTGTCCAAGCTCCTCGCGCCCTCAAAAACATCAGAGAAGACGTACCGGTGAGCACCAACAAGAAGAACGTTGGAGCTTGCCAGTACCATGACGAAATGACGCTCCTGCGACGTAACGATTATTAGCTTGACCCGTCCGTGATCGAACTACTCTTGAGCAGCATGACCACATCCCCACGTCGTTGTTTTTCGAACCTACGTGATCGTGGGTAACCCCCCCCCCTCCCGGTACGGTGCCCCCATCACCCAGGCTGTACGAAAACGCCTCTTGCGTGGTAGCGGGCCTCACGGCGGATGCGAACCTCCTCGTCAACCACGCAAGGGTGTCGGCACAGCGGTACCTTTACCAATACGGGGAGCAGATGCCGTTGGAGCAGTTGGTCAAGGAGGTCTGCAACTACAAGCAGGTGTGTGGGTGTGTTTGTTGTTATCTTCGACCGCTCACCGGTTCTGGCCAACTATAAGACGCCCGTCTCAGTGCGGTTGAAAACACGAACACAGGATGCTTCCAAAGGCCACGAGCTGGTGTGTGTGTGTGTGTGTTTTGTGTGTGTGGACCGAAGCTGAGGGTGGCACCCGTGGTGTATTTTTGGCAGAGTGGCCTGCGTTGGTGTGGATGACGACGCAAGCGCCGCAGCGGTTACACGTGCTCGTCTGGACTCGTTCGAACGGACAGACCGGCTGTAGTCAGCCTGGCTGTTTATGTGTGCATCCTGTGGCGAGGGGGGGATGTACTCATAGTCGTGCATGCCGTAGTCGTTAGACCATTGACGTCGCTTCCCTACGAAGCCGGGACGGAGCACGCCGGGTTCTCACCAGACCAGGCTCTCACATCACCAAGTGCGAAGCCCCGTGAGGCATCCTGTGGCGAGGGGGGGTCTAGAACTTCTGGGAGGGAGATGTTAATGGGTCGATTTAAGTCGTGGCGGAGTCGTCGTAGTCATGGGTGGCTGTTGCACGTACGACTGACTGTACGGGTGTTTTCGCTTGGTTGTTTCCATGTGCGCTTTTGTCTACTGCACCAGACTTGCCAAGCGGCGGTCTGGTGGTGAATTTTTGTTGAAGCTGCGACGGTGTACGGCAGAGGGCTGCTACTGCTGCTGCTGCTGCGGCTGCTTCGTGGAATTGCCGCTCTCAGCAGAAGCCTAAAGAGCACTCCAAGGTTGAACGCGGCCGTTGATAGCAACAACGGAGGGCTAGAGGAATAGGCTTCCTCCTTCTTCGGCAGAGTTGTCTCAAGACTAGAGTAAAACGCACAGAGTTGAGACCGCTATATTTTCAACCCCGCCCCCCTCCCGCACCCTATGGTGTCTTCTTAATCCAGGCTTACACACAATTCGGGGGACTGCGGCCGTTCGGCGTGTCCTTCCTCTTCACGGGATGGGACGAGCACCACGGGTTCCAGCTCTACCACAGCGACCCGAGTGGCAACTACGGGGGTTGGAAGGCAACGGCCATCGGGGCCAACAACCAGGCGAGCAGGGGCGGTCTTGTCTTGCTTACTCTGTCTCTTGTCTAGAATCTTCGTGGCAAACTCTCCGCTTGTAGCGGAGTGGTGGAGCAATGCGCTACAGTTTTGGTTTGCATTCGCCGCTTGTAGGTGGATGCAGAGAGTGGTATGCAACGCGCTAGAGTTTGGTTTGGCGTTATCATGGTGGCGGCGGTGTGCAAGGAGTAATTGAGGCACTCTCACGTTTGTTTCGAACGTTTGTTGTCATCCGGCTGAGTGTGTGACACCATGTAATGATGACGTTGTGTCCGAAGGGTGAAGCGCTGAGCGACTGGAATCCGTTACAGTAGAGGTCCCTATTTAGTGCCGGGGTGTGCGCCGAAATTTCACCGGCACTATACCGGACACCGGCACTATTCGAAGTACAGAACGACTTGGTATTCCAGTGTGTGCGAATCGAAAACACCGGCACTATACCGGCAGCACTATTCAACCGGCACTAAACAGGGACCTATACTGTTAAGTATTTTTCAATGGTCTACGCAGCTGATCCACTTCCACCATGACGTTGTCTTCGGGAGGTTTAAAACCAACCGGCACATTGGGTTTGCAGAAACCTGGTGTTGGGTTTTAACGTGGTCTTCAGCCTCTCTGTTGGTTCCAATAATTTTCCCGCAACCGTTTTTTGTTGTTTCGCGATCTAGTATCTCGCTTTGTTTTGTTTTGTGTGGTCAGGGGTGGTAGTGAAAGACGAAGCCGGCAAGATAGGGGGTCAAGAGACACACACACACCAAGCGAATAATCATGCATGGAGATAGGTGAAGGACACATTTCTCACACTCACCCATCCCGCCCGCACATCATATCGCATGCCGCACTGGCGATATTTCACTCAAACTGCAAACACCTATCGATCATCAGCGAGTAGATTGTAGCTTGGAGGCCTCCGCTCCAGCAGCATGCCGTAGGTCGAGATCGACGTTCAACAAGTGCAGTTCATGCTGCCAAGTTTTCCTTTAGCGACAAGTCCAAAAATCACCTTGAAGTTAAATAACCACCGATTGTCGGTTACTTTTCTGGTCGTTTTTTTTTCTCCCCGAACCGTCTCCTTCAAAACCAACAACAGGCCGGCAAGGCGTTGCTCAAGACCGACTACGTAGAGGAGTCGAGCGTGGACGAGTGCCTCAAACTGGCCGTGAAGGTGCTCAACAAGACCATGGACAGCACAACCCCGTCCCCAGAGAAGATGGAGTTTACCACCATCACACGCGTCAACGGAAAGGCGAGTTTTTTTTTGTTTTTCTTACAGGATATTTTGTTCGCGCTGTACAGATTGGCAAATGAAACTGCACGGGGGCGGCGCGATTCATAAAACTTCATGGGACCCCGGGATATGGGGCCACGGGCGGTCCTTGCACCCCGTGATCGATATTGGATATGGGGGCGTAAACAAGCCGATGAAGATCTTGTGTTGAAGCAGAAACGGAAGGATGAAGGTCGGCATTTCTCTCGGACGTGGCATCGCGACAAAAGTTGAAGTCTTGAATCGCACGTGAGAGACGCACGCCGCTACACACATATGCGTTCTCCCTTTCTTCAGGGTGAACGCAGTGGACCTCTCGTTTTGTTGGTCAAACAACGTGATATGCTTTTTGTTCACCGGCGAACATCTTTCTCCCCCACCCCCCGGGTTTCCCAACGTGATCGCCCCTACTGGTGAATCCCCCCCCCCCCTGCCCCATGTACCTGGTCCTGTGGAAACCACGCCTCTCGAGGTCTGACAACAAAAATGCATGCTAAACAGAGCACACCCCTCCCCCACCTCTGGTTTTCTGGCGAACGAACGGCATTTGTTCAGATCGTACACAAGATCCTCACAGACGAAGAGTCGGACAAGATCCTCAAGGAGGTGGCAGCAGAAGCCGCCACGCAGGGAGACGTGTAGGAATAATCGGAAGGAGGCAGTTGGGGGAGGGGAGGGGGCAGCCCGGCAGAAGTAGGTACGAGATCTCTCAGGGGCCAACTGAGAGGTTTCTAGGGACCATGAAGTTTGGTTTGAAGCGCGGGGAAAAGGGGATCAGGGGCAAGCTTTCCCGGTTCTTCTTTGCGAAAGGGTGTCCGCTGGAATGGCGTCCGTGGGTGGTGGGTGCCACCTGAACAGCAGCAACGCATCTGGCGCTCGATAGTTAGGGCTGGTCGGTCCGATCGCAGAAAATATTCACACACCAAAAGTCCGACACGGTGGAGGCAAGGCCCGAAGATCGTGTTGTCGTTGATTGCCGTTGGACATTGTGGTTTTGCGGAGAGACAAAGAGGAAGTCCGAACTTGGCAGATGCTGGGGATTGTAGAGTACAGAGCGCTCTCTGGTCATCATGTTCGCTGCTGTATATGGGTGTCGATCTGTTTGCCGAGAAACAAGTCGGTTTTCATGTGGAAGCACCCCAAGGATGGGAACGATCTTTTTGGAAACAATATCGAAGCGCAAAAAAATCGGACGGCGTTTCTTCTGCCTTTTTATCACTAAAACGCATGGCTGCCACACAACAAGGGTGTCCCGATACATGGTGATCGTGTGTAAGTCGAGGTTGAAAGCGAGCAGACACAAAACGAACACGAGAGGTTTTCGTCGTGTTTTTTTTTTGCGGTGCGCTTGCTGCGATGCTGGAGCATTCGCGTTCAACACGTTATCCGCGTGACATTTTCGTGTAACACCCTGTGCCCCGGGCGAGACAGATCCAGCGTTCGTCTAGATAGCATTGTTTCTTTAAACCACACACGTGCGAATTGCGCGAAGATCGGGTATGTGCGCCCACGAAAAGAAGACAAAATTGGAAGGCAACCCACCCTTGTTTCAGATCCATCCCCGTCTCACTCACTCGTCGCTCCGCTTTATCCAAGTGCCTGTCTAATCGCGAAGCGCGGGATACGCTCAACACTTTAGTGACGCGAGGCTGTCGTGATGCTCTGATCCTCCCCTTCTAGTCTGGATAAGGCCCGAAAACACAAAGTTCGGCTGTTCAGTCCTCCATGCCCTCTCGCGATGTTGTACGGAGCACCTCCCCCTCCCCCCCCCCCCCCCCCCCCCCCCCCCCCCCCCCCCCCCCCCCCCC